TTTGTATTAATGCAGTGGAATGGTAGATTCTTTTAAAGCTTATTATACAGGCTTTAAACTGAGCCAAAGTTCAGCATTTTATGTCAGGTAGAACCAAATTTACAACAAAATTAGTGATTATTTATGAGTCAAATTTCATTGCGATCAAAGACGGAAAGTTAAAAATGGTATTTCGGCATGCTGATTTGATATAAAGCGACCGACTACGATCCCCGAATCAGCTGCCACTTTTACTACTTAATCAGGTGGAACAGGGAGTTACCTTGAAGTGCCAGTAGAGGTGATAAGAGGAAGTGGCAATATTCATGTGACTCGGTGTCACGCATGATTCACTCTGTGTACAGCACAGATAAGTTACAGTAGAACATTACGTTTTATATGACAAGAAACCGAAGTGTCAGCATCAGGTATTAACAGAAGGGAAGTTAAAAAATTCTGAGATGCATGTAAGGCAGATACTGCAGCCATTTTACAGGCAACAGACAGACAAAGAGCTCTGCGGACACTGCACATTCTGTCAAGCGTTCCCATGAAACAGTGGTCCGAATACCTCTAAACAATGACGAATCACCATTCTATCCTGAATTGTTTGATTAACGTCTTGAGGCATAAGTAGAACTGGCATGAAATTCTAAATCCACGCCAAGAATAATGAGATCCACGATTCAAGGTCAAAAATTCCGGACATCCGATTAAAGATGCCAGGCCCTTAAAACATTCCTTTAAGTAATTAATACTTTAATCATTAGTATGCTTTGTGGTGGGGGGGGGGAAGGGATTCTTTGCAAATAAAACAGTCTGGTCAGATTCGAACATGGAACCTTTAAATCAGAATGTCGATGAGCAATACGTCACGGGGAGGAAGGAAAAAATGCAGTAGACACCAGAATTTGAACATGCAAACATAATGTTCACAGCAACGCCAGTCTCCTACCATATAAACCAAAGAAAAGCTTTCAACTCTGTTTTACATTCAGAGAACTCAGAAAAGTCATTAACATCGTTTCAAGTTTTGTTTTAAATTAGGCAGACATACTAATGTCTTTGTTTACCACACATAAATCACTGCAGTTAGCAGAAGGAATACAAGAGCCACATACGTGGAAATTACGAATGAATGGAATTATGATGCAGGCTGTACACTTACATCACTTCTGGTATGGGACTTACAAAATTTCAAGAGCTTGATTTTTGTTGCACAGTGTACACACAAAGGATGAATCAATATTAAAAAATTAAATTTCTAGAACCTTTGAATTCAATATCTAAGCCGCTGAATTCAAGCTCCACTCCTTGAAGAGCCTCACTGAGAGTTTCATGATAATGACTGATGCTCTCCTTTGTCCCCATGCAAAATGGCAGGGAAAAGTAAGCATATGTTTCTTGTCGATTATGATATGGACCAACGGTGTTCATCCACAGAACAACTTCATCGTGGTCCTCATACTGAAAACAAATGAATAAGCATTCATAAATTATTTTGCATTAAATAAACTATCTTCGCAGTAATATCTTATTATGCATTCCTTGCAGAATGTGCACAAAATGAACTCGTGCCGGGCTGACCAAGTCTGTCCATCCATAAGATTTAACTTCGGAAACCGATAATTTTGGATAACATTTGGTATGGGCGTTACGCCATTGCGGTCTACTCCAAAATCGCAATTTTAAATTTTCTACAATTCAAAACACAAACATGGACCAAACTTGTGAGGTGGGATTGACACTAGCACCATCTTAGGGCCATACAATTTTTAACATCTCCCTATCCATTTATGCCTCTATCTGGTTGTAATAATGTACAAGAATATATTCTTATTTTGTGCCTTAAATAATCTTTGCTTTTTAAACAACAACAACAAAGCCTCAGAATTGGATGGACTATATGGATTTGTGAACCAAGCAACATTTAAAGGACTTGAGAATATGGTAAATAGATGGAGTTAACTCAGGATCATGTCTGGTGGTGAGCTTTGGTGTTGTCGGTGTTGGGCCTATGGGTTCTACTACCAGGGAATTAGTGAAAAATGCAAACCAAACTAGGTGGTGATAGATAATCAGGAGTTTACTGTACAAGTGCAATATATGATTTAGGTTCACCCACTACGCCATCTAATAGGACAATGTTTCATCACACAGTGTTCCTTCCTGATTAGGTTTCTGATTTGGTTTGTTAAGTTAGATTAGATAAACTTATCTGTGGGAGAGACACGCACTTTACCATACATTCACGCTGTCACATTCTATTCACAAGCCACATCATAAATTATCAATCTTTAAATCAGAATCTTCCAACAAAGTCTCTAACGCAACTGAAATAACTATAAGAGTAATCTGTAGACTAGATGAATGTGTATACATGTCTGGATAATATTTATAACTAGATCCACCATCAATTTAATTACATCTACTCAGCAAAACATAAATATACAATATAACTAACATGAAAAACACAAAAATGAAAAAGGATTTTTTCTATAACATTCAAACAAAAGTACTACTAAATGTTGCAAAATTTACTATGACAAGTTGGCAACCCTGCACACACTGTTCCTGTCTTTAATACTTCCATTGCCAGTCTCAACTTGTTTCAAGCATCACTCGTACTGTAATGATTATGTTCGGACTGCCTTTTTTGTATGAATTTCCATGTCACTCCCATACCGATTCGCCCTGTCAAATTTCTGGCTATTCACAAAGATGGAAGATCAACTTTGCAATTACAGAAAAGTCCCTACATTTTATTCCAGCACATACTTTACAATTCAACAGACCTTCAGAATGCACCTCTTATGCAACCAAGTCATGTAACCATTATTGAAATGACATTCAACATTTAATTTTACATGTGGAAATAATTTAATGTCTCTCTTAGAAAATCTTTGAAATGATGATAACTGGGGCAAGTTTTAATACATCAATTACCTCTGGCGACCATGAAGTTCACACTCAGTGTCGAAATAAAATAAAGAGGTGGATAAATGATGCCATTTGATATCAAGGGGAACTAAAACACAATTCCAACACAAGTATAAGGTATTCTCAAAATGTGGGTCCAAAATTATATTCCTTAATAGTAAAATGTAACTCCTAAAATACCTGTTACTATTCTGATTCAGACTACAGGTATTCTTTCCGTGGTCGAATGGCATTAATATCCTACACAGCCATATGCAGCACACTGCAAACAACTAAGTAGAGCTATAAGTATGACCTAAACGTTTCTTCTCCTTATCAATATGTATCCTTCAGAAGTGACGATGTCCCAGCGGCTGATAGTAAAACAAACGATCCTCACGATACATACATCTCACATGTACCGTTTATCATAACCACAAATATTACACGGCCATGTTATTAAGAAACATAAAATTGCTTTCGTGAACGCCCTTTTAAGTGTACATACAAGGAAATAGCCAAACTTACTATATGTGTATGTTCATCGCTGTTCACTCCAACAATGATGCAAATAACACATAAAATATACATCAAAGACATACTAACAAAAAATAAATTAATGCTACGAAATTAACACGGATTATTTCAGATACATAAATTCCTACGCGTTTTCTCCATTGACAGCCCTATATGACAACATAATCACAGAAACCGATAACATTTAGTTTGCTGCTTCTCGACTCGCAAGATGTCTCTGAAATCACACACGACGTACCAATTATATATTGAAATAGACTAGAGAAACTAATTTATATATATCTTCACCAATGAAAATACTTAAAAACATAGAATTTTAAAAAAACAGGTTACGTTTTATTTTAATATCTTCGTTATACGAATACATTTTACGACTGAAAATACTTTCATCCCACAAGCCACGTTGGCATTTACTGCATATATTACGTTGGTGACACTGCGTAAAAATGTAAATAAATAATTGCGCAAATGATAGGTTAGGATTCACATAGCGGTATAAACGTAATATCACCATTTTCATAAAAGGCAACCAATCATTTTCAGTGCATGGTAATATGTTAATTCAATGCCTAAATGTCTGCTTTAGGTTTTTTTCACTTCAATTCATGAGGCCCAATGAAATTGCGTTTGTTACGTCGTACATCCGGTTTGTACCTGTATAAAGTTTGTGATCAGCAAATACACAGGAGCTTTATTGATTGGACATGATTTTCAATGTCTGCCTGTCTCAGTATATTACGAAGATTATGGATACTTTCCTCGTCGACGTAATACCGAGCGTAAAAAGTCCGCCGCTCGGTTCAGGTAGCTTTTTTTTGTGTATCGTGTTATGCATATTTACTGGGATTGATAACGTGTTGTAAGGCACACATTTAAATGCCGTGAATCTCTTAATACATCTGATCACTGGTCTGGAACCCTTTGTCCCAGGTTTTACAAGATCCGATTTAAAAAGTTTTAAGGCCACAATCCATTCAAAAGAAAATGACTCTCCAGGCTAGTATCGGCTACTGGTGGGGAGAGTTTTACCTGCTTTAATATGAAACCCTTTTACATGAAGCTCGGTGAGCTGCAGATCAAGCCAGTCTAGCCAATGCATTTATATGGGCACATTGTGAGAAAGAAAAAACTTCAGCAAGTAGTTAGTAATAGGTACTGTTAAGTTGGTAACTGTAGCGGAGGCTCATGAGAGCCAAACTCTGAATTGCATACCGGCTCGGCGAGCTGTTCAGTTGAGCGGCTCACGGGTGAAAGCAACCTTACAGCATATGACTGTCCATTCCTATTCCAAACACATCACCTGTTTGATTGTTACTTAAATAATAATGAGTGTGTGCATCTGTTTCTTTATAATTATCAAGGTTCAATGCTATAAAAAGAAGAACAATGAAAATTTATGGTCAACAACTAAGATGCTGTATAAGAATAGCAAGACCTGTTACTTCATACACATCATTAGGTTGGATACAAAAAAAGAGAGAGAGAGAGAGAGAGGGATGGGGGGAAAGGACTGAAGCTGCTAAAATGCATTTCTAGACTTCTGTAAAAAAAATACAATCTCTAAATACGAACTAGAAAGAAATTACAGATTAAAATATATTTTCAGATTACACAAATAAATGGTGCTTGCAAGGAAAAAAATTCCAAAAACGGAGGGGGGGCTGGAAAAAATGACATTGGAAGATCAATAAAAATTGATAAAAAGGTTTTAGCAGGGGCAATCTGAGCCACTGATTACAATTACTGATGCTGCTAAAAAGTAATGAAAGATAAATAACAGTATGATTATGGCCAGCTTCTTAGTGCGAAAATAAAAGTCCTGGTTCTTAAAAATCTGAATAGAATAAAAACTTTCCATTCAAATTGGCGGCACAATATTACACCTTGCATCATTATTTTACCTGTCATTCAGTACTGACTTCTTATTGGTCACCTATTCTGAATGTTGTACCATTCTTATTATCCAATATTTGATGACATTACCATTCTTCATCATTCTTAATCTCCGTAACGATTCCTGTAGAGGACTCACTATTACATTCTCCTTTTCTCGCAACCTGTTGCAGAATTCTGATAATTTAAGCCCTAACACAAGAGTTCAATTTGTGACAGAACTGCTTCCGAGCGACTTCATAAGACGATAACAATCCTGCAATCGTTTCCGGTCACCAATTCTCTCTAGTGTCTTGGCAGCCTCGGCCAACATCCCAGCGCGCTCACCAGGCGAGGACAGAAGCGGAGTAGGCAGATGTCGACACGCCATGTACAGGGCTGCCGCGTGCTCTCTCTCACCTCCAGACTCTTGTTGGTTTTTATCTAAAGTGAAGCATGACATAATTACCTCTCAATAGTCAGACCAAAATGTGGTATTAGATTTCAGCACTTACGTTTAAAAACATTCCATGGCAATAGTTCTCAAACTACGAAGCAAGGATCACTGTTTAAATTGTTTGAGAAGTAGTGACTGAAGTAAAAGGTGAAAAATGGGACAACATAGAGATCTGGAGGCTTAAATCTGCAGTCCCATCCCTTTACAGAGGCAATTCTGAAGAAGAGGTCACGTTATTTCTGAATCATAACATGGTACATGCTGGAACCAATGCTATATAAAATCTGAGCTGTTCGTGGAGACACACACCTTTGCCACAGATTAGAGATGTTCGGCTATGCCTGTGACGCAAGCTGCGGTCCAACAGTTGCTGTGTGCGACCTGGTGATGCACCTGCCATCATACGTGCTATGGCTTCATATAAGAACACACGGGGAAGTGCCGACTGAAAATATCGATCACGAGGAAACTTAAACACACATGTAAAGTCTAGTAAGCTGTAGGATTCAACCTATTTAAAGCAACTTATATTTTTTAATGATACATACAATGGGTAGCGTAATCCGGTCATGAAAACTAGCAATGGCTGGGGGTTCGTCGCACTGACCACACGTCACCCTATATCCGGTTGGATGATCGTTCACCTCTGCTTAGGCATGTGAACGTGAGGCAAGCAGTCGGTTTTGGTTCTCTGTAGCTGTTACGCCACGGATTATTTATTATTATTATTATTACGCTACTCTTGAAGTCCTAACGTCACATTTCACATTTTGACACTTTCATTCAATAACAAGGACATACTATCTTACATAGTAAAGTACCACATATTTTATGTCTTCACACTAGACAGGGGTGAATGGACACCCTCACATTCTAGTTGCTTTACCTCCAGTATGAATAAGATTATTCATGAAAATGCACTAATCATTCACAGGCATCTATCTAATAAGCTGTGAGTACTTCTACGCTAAAATACAAGGCAAAACTTCAATAATATATATAATGTAGCCATTGTGGTTCTAAAATATAAATCTGGGGTTGAATTTTATTAAGACGATGGGTGCTACTATCTACCAGGAAGTCGATGAAACTTTGGGAGTTTCTCTCACAGATGATGTTCAAACAACGTATCTGTCATTTTCATAAAGAATCTATCCACAAGTTGTAAAGATAATTTATATACTGTCCGTATATAACAGTTAACAAAATAAATAAAAACAAGATGTTTCTTAAATATATTTTGAAGATAAGGCTTCATAATGTCATGTAGGAATGAATGTAATCCTTTGTAATTAAAACTTCATATAATTAAGATATTATATATTCAATACCAGCCCCTTACTGGAATATGTTGTGCAAGACATCTAAGGGATGACAGGTTCTGCTGGAAACCAGTTAGAACAGCGTTAGTAACTGGAACAGCACCTGACCCATCAATTTCCAGCCCTTCTTCCCACACAATGGTTCGTGTCTCAAGCAACCAATCACACACCAGAAGTTGCACCAACTATACAAACAGATTATAAAATATACAAGTAGTAGAATTAAAGATAACATTTTCAGATTCCCTTCTCATAACAAATATTTGTTGTCCAAAGAGCTGGTTGGTTGGGCTTAGTACACAGATGAGACAATGGTGGAATAACAAATAGTATTACATTTCAGAGTTGTTTTAAAAACAGGTAAATCTTTCCACAAGAATTTACTACTCAAGGTAGGGGAAACAATATCTAAAAAAAAAGGAATAGGAAAGCAGTAGAGCCAGATGGCAATCCGATGGAATTTTGAAAAGAATTATGTAAGAAAGATTAGTAAAATTAAAGTTTCAAGATTTTAGAAATGTAATACTACCAAGCATGAAAACATCAGTTCCTAGGATGCCACCTGCACAAATAATATACCGACTAAATTTTAAACAGAGATAATTCAGTTCCATTCTTTTGTTTGTTGAATAAACAGTGTAAGTTCCGCAAAATACTATACTGACAGAATGTTGCATGGTAATGAAGGGTTAATTTTTTCCATATGAACTGTAGTTATGCTGCCATCACCTTCTTATTACTGACACTGAAAGCTCGTATCACTTTCCAGCACTATCTGAAACGTTGGCTAACATCGACCAGACTACCCAGCGCAACAACCCAGAAGACGGATATCTTCATACTCACTGCTGTGAAAACCTCATATCTTACATATGTTAATTTAGTTTAATTCTTTATATTTGTTCATCCTGCACTATGTGATTAATGGTTGATACGTAATTCTCTAAAACTGACTGATATTAAACGATGGATTGATTTTCTATTCACCCGCTGCCAGCCACTCACACGAAAGGAGCATCAGATGCAAAGAGGATTCCTCTCTTCACATGATGTGAGCACTAAAGATTATCTCTTGCTGTACACACCATCTACCAGGTTAACGCTGTTTACACTGGTCTCTGGTGTTGCACTACAGAAGTATTGCACTTTTTCATAGGTATATGCAATGCAACTACAATGCACCCCAGAAATCAGCTGTGACTTTTCATCATGATGCGATTTAAGTATTGGACGAGGGATCGGCCCGTCGCAAGGCCTCTACCTATACACAGGACAGCACAACACAGAAAAACACGGACAAACATCCATGGCTTGAGTGGGATTTGAACCCACGGTCCCAGCGACCAAGCGGCACAAGGCCGTCTCAGACCGCGCAGCCACTGCGGACCCCATAAAATATACATACTACCTGTATCTTCAGGGATGGAGGCAGCTGCGTTCCTCTGAAATGCTGGTATCTACCTGTAAGTCCACGTCATTCCAATGCAGAAGACGAACACAGATGCCTACACTGCCATGAGAATCTAAATCTCACTTCAAAGCTAGACATGATCAGTCCTATATTTTATATTAATAAATGTTTTTATAGGATTTGTAAATATAACAATCAATAATAAAATTACATTACTTACATGTACCATACTGCTGTCTTGCTTGCAGCTGTTGTACGTGAGGCTGTCACCAAGACAGTGTCCAGCAGTATTGCACACCGACAAAACAGCCTCGTTAACAGAGTTGTTTCCAGAATGACGACAACTCTGACTCAGAAACACTTTCCTACTTCTAATTGCTGCCAGCACAGCATGAGGAAGAGGATCCGTCAACTTATCCAAGCACTCGGGAAATGTTTCCACTCTCGGATAAAGGCGTTCTGCTTGTGCGTTTTCTCCCAATAACCAATATGCTGCAACACCCACAACACCTGACCACCAGTGAGCAAGCTCATCCTCTGAACCTGTAATATAAACACAGAACTCTTAATTAATCAATCAGTAATTGAATAAAGAGCAAGAAATGCATATAAAAATTAAACTGGCAAAGCCTCAAGGAAGAATGCCACTAGGGACACCTAAGTGTCGACTGGAGCATAACATTAAAATGGATCCAAAAGAAAAAGGTTGGCCACCAGATCACACCACCTCAATGTCTACATCATGATTTTCCTCATCCATCATTCTGTCATCAATGTCTTTAGAATATTCAAAAGTACAAATCTGAGGTCGCGCAGAATACCACAACCTACACATCAAATTCCATGTAAAGCAAGTAATCTACGACTGACCTAAAATGAGACGTGATATTGTCTGTCACTCAAGAGCCATTGCCACTACTTCCTCCTCCCTGTACAGTGTTGCCACATCGTATTTTCTGTGGTTACGTCGGTGGGTACAAATTTTCAGACAACTGTATGTTGTACTGGTCCAAAAATGTATGAATAATTACAATGAATACCGTCAAGGACTACCATACATTTGCACTTTCTTTCCTTTAAAATTACCGCAGTTAAACAATTTACACCTCCGGTCACTGTACAAACAAATATGTAAAGCCACCGGAAATACCAAATAAATGAAGATTTCAAAAAGACATAAAAGAAAAGCTATGCAAGGAAAGTTCAGTCAACCAATCGTTACAGCTCGGCTGGGGTTTGGCATAAGCATTCTCTCAAATTTCATAATATTTCAGAACTTACATGCCACTTGAATGTTTGCGGATGTTAGTGGGTGTGACACATCACTATGACCTCCTGAGGCAAGTGCATTTTCCATGAGCAGATGAACGTACGTGAGGACATCGGATGTTTGGGTTCGTTTCAGTGGTTCTTCATCATAGGCATTAAGTTTGCTCCCTGGAGCCACAAGTGTCTGCAACGCCTGTTCTAGCAAGTGTTCCCGGTAAGCACGCATAACGTAAGCCAGAGGATCGGTGTGGTTTCCTAGGCTACTGAACGGAGAAGGAGCCACGAAACCATACGACCAGCGATGTGATAAAAAAAATCGATGTCCATACGCGGTGAACAGCCATTGTAGACGCATAGGTACCTGGCTACATCCTTTAAAGCAGACATGTCGGGCCAAGCTCAAATAAAACCTAGAAAAGAGTAAATGAAAAGTTGCAAAAAATATACAGCGTGAGTAATTCTGTCTTTGCATCATCTGTAACATTTGTTTCAGTCGACCAAACTGGCTCAACCTCGTACATAGGACAGGTTCTAATATTGCTCACAAAGATTATTTTCCTACTGTACATGATTCCAGTGGTACAATTCTTTCATCATCATTTCTTCTTCTCTTATCATTGGTTTATTGGACATAACCTCAAAGGACACACCCAGATATTTTGCCATTAATTTCTTTACCACATCAACATCGCAAATCACTAATGTTCGGATAAAAATAGCTGCACTGAGATAAGACAGAAGCATTGTTCCTGAGTCAACACGTTAAATGAATGTTAAGCTAAAAATTCTAAATATGAAAATTTTCTAAAGCTCTGTGACATGGTTTGCTCAACACATACAAGATGTGTTCAAATCAGTAACATCCGAGGGCGTGTTACCACCAGGGCTGTGGAGTTGGTAAAAATGTACCGACTCCAACCTCAACATAAAATCTTAAGAACACTTTCGCTATCGTGTGGGCCGCCGCTGGCCTCACGCTTGTGCATAGTCGCCTGCACTGGATACTGGGAACGACCCGTTCTTCAAGTGCCTGATCACTGCGGGTCCCAACTTTTCGTCGGCTGGATCTATAGACATTCGGTAGGACTCCTTGGACGAGGGATCGGCCAGTCGCGAGGCCTCTACCTGTACACGGGACAGCACGACACAGAAAAACGCAGACAATCATCCATGGCTTGAGTGGGATTTGAACCCACGGTCCCAGCGACAAAGCAGCAGAAGGCCCACGCCTCAGACAGCGCGGCCACTGCGGACCCCGTATGTTTAAATATAGGATATGTCTAAAAAGTAGCCTGATGATTAACGTGGTGGTGATGAAATATCTTGTGGTACCATTTACCATTTTAGTAGGTTTACCATTATTAAAACATATTGAGCTTTCATGAAGGAGTCGGAGTCGGAAATATTAGTACCGACTCCACAGCCCTGGTTACCACTCATATTTATTACTTCGACGCAAATGTCCAATACAACATTTATCAATGGACAAACCCTTTATTTCTTCACATAATTGTGATTAGCACATATGACCCTGCAATATACAATCTGTTTGATTCTTGCAGAGAAAGAAAAGACTGCCATCTTCAATCACAGAGTGTTAATTGCAACGTATGAACTGCATATGCAGGGGCACTCAACCCCCGTCAACGTCCACTAGCGCGTGTCCGCCTCTCCAACTTTCGAAACGTGGTCATTTTAGTGCAATATAAATTTCTTTTACCTGTTAAAGAACTGAAGAAACGATGGGCATGATTCCTTGACGCGCAAGGCAGCGGCCACATAAATATCAGCAATCTGTTCTGCCGAAAGGAGATGTGCTGAAGCCTCTGCCATGTTGACCGCGCTAAATGCCAACATAAAACCAGCGCAATGTCCATCTGTTGATCCACTCACTAGGTGCAACTGATGCAAACGATGGTACACAAGTGATAGTTCCTTTGTTGAATTCAATGCCTCTCTTCTTGCCACACTTGAATCAAACAGCCAATACCGTTAAATTAATTAAAATTAGGTAAATAAATATTTTTCAAATCATTTCTGAATTAAACCTAATAGTATGTATGTGTATTTTAAAGTTTTTATGGAAAAATGTGAAGGGAAGCTCTAGGCATAAATGGAAAAATAATACAACAGTGTCCGAGGGTGTACGCAGGATTCAAGTAGTTCAGGATATCAGTCCAACGGCAGACTCTTGTAGAGACAGTAATGAACATTGAGGTTCCCTAAAAGCCAGAGAATTTATTGACTATGCGATTACCTACTGGCTTGTCAATGCGGATTCTGCTTCAAGTTTAATAATTTTTCTCTGGCTAAGGAGATAATAAAGCAGCCTAAGGTTTAAAGACAATTTATTTATTTATGGCTCCGAAGGTTATTAGTTTAACTAAGAGCCTTCGTAACTGATACTGAAAGATTCCAACCCACTGTTAGATGTGTTGAGGGAGAGAGCGGTGAGACTGGTCCAGAATTCTCTAAGTTTACGAAATTATTTCTGTTCAAGATTGGAGATGGGAAAAGCAACCACAAGAGTCCACTGGAACCAGACAGTCTGAAATCCCAGACCATGGGCACAGAGTCTAATGCTGTACGTAAGTCCTCAAAAAATAAAGTCCATTAGGAAAAATTATACGTAGAGGAATACAGAAAGGAATGGGCACAGCCAGCAGAGAGTAAACTCTTTCTTCATATAAATATAGTACCAACCTGTCAACAAAAAACCCTCCAGAATGCTTTGCCAACCATCTTCCAATCCACAACCTGTGTAAAATTTGCCGTATAATCTGCCATACTGTGGACGTAAACAATTCCAGTTTCGATCCTGGCAAAGACCGACCAAAAGCTTGTAGGCATCGTCTCAGTTCTTGATCCCCAGCCGCATGGTCACCCTGCAAGTTCCCACGAGCATTTTGTTCAATTTGTGAATTATATAACCACAATAGAATTCTGCCTACTATTTTACTGCACCCTTCTTTATGGGGCGTAACTGAAGATTTACAGTATTCAATCTAGGGGTAAGAATTCCATAGCATTAACAATTCAAGCCCATCTTCATTTTGACTCATCGAAATAAACTACAAAAGAGTTTCTCGACCATATTTGTAACATGAAAGGCACCAAGTATGGATAAACAAAAAAAAAAAATGCAAGATTAAATTGGATGTCTCACAGAAAAACATTAATACATATATTCAGTTTTTTAAGCAAATACATTTCACTTCCAACACCTATGCTATTAACAATTACTGAAGTCATGAAAGAAATTTGTCAATTATATTGATCCTACATGTAATTGCAAGTACCCAGTGAAGTGAGAAAATATAAATATTTTGTTCATCAAATCTAAAAAATAAAATAAATTCACAAAAATTCAGTGATATTTTTTTTTTCTTGTACAGATCTTTGTCAGTTGACACCGAAAGAGTTAAATGCGCAAACAATTTGTATCAACGTACCTTAGACAAGTCAAAATCGGCTTGCTTCCGGTGTCTCCAAAATGTAACAGATTCTTTTGACTTGGCTGGCATTACTGGGTCCCCATACACGAACAACTTGACAAGACAACCAAGAAGAACTATAAAGTTGAACATCCACAGGAACAGAGAAGAACCTACCCACTGCCAAATCCCAGATTCTGAACCTGTCAATATTACAACATGAACCGACATACAGGACACAAGTTTATGTTAACAAATTATTATTTAAGGCTGAAGAGACAAAGTTAATGTTCATGGTTTATATATTAAATAATCCACACATCCCTACTTTTTTCCACTTATGTATCCCACACAAATTACACAACTCATGTTATAAAAGAAATGGATTCTTATAATATAATTTGTTCGGTAAAAATCGAATCTCAATCCACGAGGTTCCCAAAGTCACTAATTTTTTCATAAATTTCTGAATGAGATCTGAGCTTCTCACAGCAGCGTATATTCTGAGTTATGACACAATGTGAACTTGTAGATTTGTTCCAAGATAAAACCTTGAAATAGGCTACAACCAATTCCACTTCATCACTTATAATCATAATCAACAACAAGACCTCAGCAGTTGGTACGTAGAGCAATCATAAAGTTCCCGTTTGAGAAAAGTACGCAGGACCCGACATTTCTCACAAAGATCGTCACTGGTGATGAGTCATGGGACGAAGATGCAGTCATCCGAGCGGCACATAGCGTCGTCTCCCCCACCAGAGAAATCACGCCTCGTCTGATCCAAAAAAAAAAGCGATGCTCATGGCATTCTTTGACATCGACGGTGTGGTGCACCATGAGTTCGTACCGCCTGGACAGACCGTTACGGGTCATTTCTATGTGCAAGTGTCGCAGAGGTTGCGCGAAGCAGTTCGGAGGAATCGGCGCGATAAGTGGCAGGGTGGGTGGTTTCTGCATCACGATAACGCACCGAGCCAGACATCGCTGGTTGTGCAGCAATTCCTCGCCGAGAAAAGCATTCCCGTCATCACCCAACCGCCATACTCTCCGGATCTCGCTCCGAGTGACTTCTGGCTGTTTCCTACTCTGAAAGTGGGCCTCAAGGGGGCGCGTTTCGCAACCAAAGGGGACATCAAATCGAATGCGACGGCCGAACTCTGAAGATTCCAAACTAAGAATTCCACCGCTGCTTCCAACAAAGGCAGGATCGATGGAGCAAGTGTGTGTGTGTGCAAGGGTCGTACTTTGAAGGTGATTAGGTAAGCGTTGCCATATGTCCTACCATTACAGTGCTATACCACGATTCCGGGAACTTTTTGAGTGCCCCTCGTACATCATCATTAAACAACCAACATATTATAGACAAAAATAAATAAGATTTTTTGTACTCACTGTCCACATGCTGTAGGGTCCTTCCTTCAACCACTGTAGAAGAGTAGTCTTTGCCGCGATCAACATATCTGTTTAGAAATACTCCAAACGGATTAAATACAACCACAGCCAACATGAACATACACAGGGCCATCCTCGAATGATCCAACATCCCTCTGGCTACGCCGACACCTATCATATCATCATCTTCGTCCTTGACCTGTATCACAAAATACATTAACTTTTAGAACGCAGGATTTCAGTTCTTGGCTATTTTAAATGTATCCTAAATTTAATGTCAATTGTACGGCATCAAACAATAATAAATAAATTGTATCTGCTAATCTTTCAGCTACAAACAATAAATAAAGACCCGAATGTTAATAATAAATCCATTTTCCCAAATCAACTGGCCTTTATACAGCGTTTCCAGTGAATTTATGTCAATACTTCATCAACATATAAAGCAAATACCTCTGTACAGTACGAATCATCAGGTGATGGTGGCAATGAGCTGCTGTCAGAGTGTGGAGGCGACAGCGACGGTGAAGATTCATCAGAACGAGGTGGTGTGATGGGTCCTGAACAGTCATCTTTCATCATTTCTGCAGCAGTTACTGGATCTGTCAACAGTTCCTTCAGTGGCTTCTGAGCCGCCATTTTCAATGTCATATTTTCTCGTTTTAACTTCGCATTTGAATTCTGAAGGTACCGGATGTAATCGATAGCTTTCCGCAAGATAGCCGATTTGTTAAGCTGAAATGAAAACTAAAATAAAGACATGAAAAACAATTCTTTCAAGATTAATAACAAATACTGCAAAAAAATAATGTTATTAGTAACCAACATATTTAATAATCAGAATTCTCTTCTTTTTTTTGGCATAAAAAGATTTACAGCAAAGTTTTACCAGTAACACAGGCTCACAGAATAAATTTGATATTTCCTTCTTCGATATTTTAAAAATTAATCTTCTCTTTTTGTCAAACATCTTGAAAAGTATTCATACAGTTTTATCTTGCCCTTAAAATAACGTAATTAAAAATACATGGTACACAGCAGATATGTATATTCATCTGGTCAAAAAGCTTTATTATAGAGCCTGAAAGTTCATCACCGTCTTCACAAAAGATCATCACTGAGCCAATTAAATTCACTTAATTAAAGAATTGGGGAGGGGGGAATTATGTTATCTACATGAAAATGGCACATTAACGTAATATTGTTTTTAAGGGAAAATTGGAAATTGTTATATTACGATTCTACTGTGAATTATAGTTGGCAGATATGGACATATCCTCATTATTTCCAATGTTTATATCTAAACAAATACCTTTTATGAAGATAATTCACATTTTTAACCCCTTCTACATAGAACTGTTAAGGGAAATATAAATGCTTTGTTTGTCATTTCCTATTTTTTGGTAACCTACATAGAACTGTTAAGGGAAATATAAGTGCTTTGTTTGTCATTTCCTATCTTTTGGTAAACCATCCTTTTATTGTCAAAAAATGAAAAAGAAGTTACTTTAAATCGTAATTTCTAAAGATCTCTAGAGATTACATTACAATGCGAAGTACTTAAATCAGAAAATATTATTTCAACATTATATACCTCAATCTCAGCATAAGACTGGTTAAGGTATCAATAAAAACAGAAAGCGGAAGCGAGTACACGACATTACACGATAAAAATAAAAATTGTCACATGCCTTTGCATCATTTCCAACAATCATGTTCTTGAGCTCAACTATTTTATCGTTAATACTCGTTCTGTAGCGACGTTCGATGGCATTGTGCGCGCTTCTTTTTCCCTCCTTCACCTTCGGCTCTCTATTATGTTGCGAGATGGCTGCGAATCTGTTGATAGCCAGCTTATCTGCATCCAACACAAGAGGTATACCTACAAAATAGAAAAATTCAAGTCAATATTTCTCCTGCTTCATAAACTATTATGATTCTAGGCTCATAAAGCCTTTTCTTGTCAACTCTTACCCCAAAACTGGTCTTTTCACAAATTTCTGGGATGATTTCTACTTTATTTTGAAAATCGTGCGTCTTCCACAATATTGTGAACTAAGTCAGTACTTTTTACGTTAAAAAGGAACGAAATTAGTAGATATCATTTCCACTGATACATCTTAAAACCCTAAGACAGTGATGAACACCTTCAGTACCACACACCAGCTAGCGCAGGCCTCCGCCCTTAGTTAGCTTTTTGGTTAGTTGGTTGGACCAAAATTAAACGCATAACGTTAAATAAAACTTGGTATTAAAATAGTACAACCTGTCGTGTTTAGTTCTGCAGAACTCTAAAATGTATCATTAATTTGTTATTTACACAAAGTACAGAAAGAAAGAAAGAAAGAGAGAAAGAAAGAAAGAAAGAAAGAAAGAAAGAAAGAAGGAAGGAAAGAAAGAAAGAAAGAAAGAGAAAAACCCACGTTGAAATCAGAAACAAACACCAATGTTGGGTACTTGTGGGTTATCATGACATGTCGCTTTAAAAATAGGTTAGGTTAGGGTTGTTATCTGTTAGTTCGTTCAGTTGTCCACACACATTAACCTAACCTAACCTAACCTATTTTTAAAGCGATGTGTCCCGATAACCCACAAGTACCCAATGTTGTATTAAATGTTGGAAATATTCACTGCGTTCATCGATTTATGCATTTATTTTTCTGCATGTTGATGCAACTGGTGAAGATTTATTTTTTGAGGCTTACATGTCGTGTTTCTTTTCAGTCACCTGGTACTAGAACGGGTGTTCAGAAATTAACATTAAAATGGGCAAAATTCTTAAAAAAAAAAAAAGAATTTTCACTTTACCAGGACTCACCAGTAGCTAGAATTGCACCATGAGCAGTGTTAACGAGGGTGTGAATGGAGGCTGGTGGAGGTGGCGGGTTACCACTAGATGTCACAGTCACGCCTGTCACTGGGGCTGTAGTATACATCACTGTAGCAGGACTTAGCTGTGGTTCTGATTTAATTAACTGAGCCTGAACCAATACCTGATACACGAGCACAATATTTTAGTACAGTAAACACAACTATCATAAACTTGTCCTTCTTTATCCTATGTCCATATCTCTGTATGATCGAGCTTAAACGCGCAAGTTAAACGATAAAAGACCGGTGATTAATGCGCTGGTACTCGCATGGAGAACACACGGCGTCTGTTTCATAGCACAGCCTTACTGCTATGTGCATCAACAGTAAGAGGAAGTGGTATTTATATTTCCCTTGCAATATTAGCATGACTCAGCATTGTGTAAGTTTCCCTTTGCATTATTTTTATGCTAGAGCACATGTTTTTTTATATGTAAAGCGTATATCCACTAGGAAATGCAAGAGAAAATTCACACCATTTTCTGAGATCATGGCAGAATCAGTACTCAGAATCTTGACAATAGAGTAAAAAATACAAATAGCATGTTAACAGAAAACCAAAATGATGAGTACTGATTTAAAAAAGTCGGTACTTGTGGGTTATTGGGACACATCGCTTTAAAAATAGGTTAGGTTAGGTTAATGTGTGTGGATAATAACTTTCAAGTATATATCATTTATCCACACACATTAACCTAACCTAACCTAACCTATTTTTAAAGTGATGTGTCCCGATAACCCACAAGTACGAAAAAGTCTAATAAATTGGAGCTCATTTATCCACACACATTAACCTAACCTAACCTAACCTATTTTTAAAGTGATGTGTCCCGATAACCCACAAGTACGAAAAAGTCTAATAAATTGGAGCTCATTTATCCACACACATTAACCTAACCTAACCTAACCTATTTTTAAAGTGATGTGTCCCGATAACCCACAAGTACGAAAAAGTCTAATAAATTGGAGCTCATTTATCCACACACATTAACCTAACCTAACCTAACCTAACCTATTTTTAAAGTGATGTGTCCCGATAACCCACAAGTACGAAAAAGTCTAATAAATTGGAGCTCATTTATCCACACACATTAACCTAACCTAACCTAACCTAACCTATTTTTAAAGTGATGTGTCCCGATAACCCACAAGTACGAAAAAGTCTAATAAATTGGAGCTCATCTTGAACATTCACCTGGTGTAGCTCTTAAGTACCTTGAGCAAGAAATGGAAATATCAAAAGGGATTGTGAGATGCACTACAAAATTAATGAACTATGGTCTTACAAAATCACAGCTGAACACAATTTGCATCCGTGTGACCTTGTAACCAAACTTAATTTCTGTAACTGTTGTCTTCAAGATGGTAAACTCGATCTCACATTGACAGTCCTTAGTTGATTGGTTTTATTTGAATAGATACATTAACACTAAAAGAGCACAATCAACATGTTTATTAATAATGAAATTGTGTTAACACTCGACAGTTACATCCTGTCTACTAAAATATTAATTGTTCTTGCTTCATTGGCATGGTTTTGAATACCATTTCTGTGAGGAAATCAAACCCTGGAAAACATCTCCTACATTTTCTCTGACATTTCTTTGTGAATTTACACTTCAGAAACACTTGATGCCCTAGTATACCCTTATCTGTGTCGAACACAAAGAAAATCTTGCACAACACTCAGTAACATGTAAACGTTGCAAAAGAGTACAACAGAAATTTCTGTCATAACTCCCGACGCCAATTTGAAGCAACAAACAAGGTGACGGCACGTTGCAGAGTCTGTGCTATGGCACAGACGGCCATTATCTCAATGTACTATGGACACCAAAATCTGCAACTGGACATTCTCCTAAACCAGTCTAACCAAATTCAAATTCTTACAAACTTTTCTGAAACATCCATTCTAACATTATTCTCTCATCTCCTCCATCATTTTCCAAATGATAATTTATAAGAGGTTTCCTTCCTAACACTTTTTACATGTTTGTTTACCTCATTTAAGATGCATGACTAGCCCATTGTAACCTCCTTTAACCCTGGCATACTATGGAGGCCGTGGGATATCTACCCACTGGATGATGAAGCTACTTCGTCAACTATTAAATATGATTGGACGAAAAGTCAAAATTAATTATGAACAGGACAACTTAAGTTATTTAAAAAAATCAAGATTTGTGATGATTCTGAGGCAATTATTTTGTAATCTTTGAAATAATTTTGTGTATTACGAATAGGCAAAAACAAGTCTCTTAACTCTGTTTTTATGATAAAACAAAATGTGCTTACCTGCTGCATATTATCTGTTGGCAACTGCCTCATGCTCTGTAACGTCAACAGTTGATTCTGAACAGATGACTGTTTGACAGTTTTCTGATGTTTTAGAGCCTGCAGCTGAAACTGGATATGTGAATTCTGCAAAGCTGCTGCAGTAGCAGACGCAGACTGGAGGTGTATCTGTTGCTGACCTGGCACTGAATTCTGAATGTTGCCAAATGAAAGAGACGCCTTTTGATTCTGTTGCTGTGTTGACTGCCCTACACCACTTGGTTGAAGCAAAATGGCTGCTGGACTCTGGGTAACTGCACATACAGGGGCTGTAACCCTCTGCTGCATTGAGGAATGTATGACACCACTTTCCAATGTATTTTGGGGAGAATTCAGAGGGGATGATGATGATGTTGGTATGGTTAGAGATGGAAGTGAAGCTATAAGGTTTTGTGATGGTATGAGGGCAGGAGATTTCTGAGCAACTTGTGGAAGTGCAGTTGAATTTGTATGAAATGAGTTTGACAGCAAAGGTTGGTGGTTTTGTTGGAGCTTCGGTTGTTGTGATGTCTGTGGTTGAGGTTGAGGTGAATGTGAGTGTGAGATATACTCCAGTGTGTTGGGTAAATTAAGAAAATCAAATGAAACATCATCTTCTATTTTCAAAGGATCTTCTACAAGTTGAGATAGAAGAGCATCATCCGTAAAAAGGTTATTTTTGGAGAATAACTCACTCTCACAGTTTGTTATTAAATCTGTAAAAAAAAACCAACAACTTACTTTTAACATTGGCTGCAACATGTAAATCCACATGAAAGGATAATATAAAACGGCTTTAAGAAAGGACCGAATACCAAGTATCTGTAAATATGTGATGAACATTCAGGTTTCATAAAGGATTAAATTTATTTACCACCTTTTAACATGTAGTCAATAATGCAAAATAATAATGTGAAGTTAATTATGCAGAACAAAGCAATCAGATTGTTTGACATTGCCTAGTTATTTATTCAGTATAGCAACAGTGAACAATGTGGTCAGCAAACACGTTTCTGTTATCTGAAAATTTCTTGCTATAGGAAGAATGCAACATGTCTTAATTTTTAGATCAAATCAAATCAATACATTGCACAAATACTTAATAACAATTTTCAGATAGTTTACATGGCAAGGTCCTCGTAATACGCAACATGATTAGTGCTTCCATTCATAACGTATTTTAAAAACTTTTGACACTGACGTTACTTGAACTGAAATGTTTGGGCATGGCTGACGAAATTCTAGTATGAAATTCGCAAGCAATTACAGCAGTAAAAGTACTGCCCTTTCAAAGAAGATAATACAAATTGGGTTCAAACTGTCACTTAACAATATGCAATACGCAATACTGTACATGAAGTATTACTCAAATAAATAAAATTTTTATACAGTCCTAGCAGACGAAGTGTTATGTGGGAGTTCATTTCAACAATTCAATGTTTCACTGCAGTGAATACACAAAACAATGTCGTAATTCGTACCTTCCAAACCACACAGTTCGCCAATGTTAAATCCATCTTCTGTAGAAAAATTTTCTCCACTGTCAAATTCCGACATTTCTCGCTGCTGCGTGCTCGCCCAACCTCCAGAGTTCGCCATGATAATTTACAACTAATCACCACATACAGAAGTAACCAATGAAATCCAACCTTTACATCGTATGATTTTACGTCACAGCCGACCAGTGGAGCGTTCTAAAAAGTAGGTGGCATTTCTAGGTCAGGGGATAAATATATGTGATAATATGTTCTTTGCCACGTTTGTGGTTTCATATCATCCTAAAGTGTCATGTGTTGATCTCAAACATTGGCAGTACTGTCATATATAAAAAGAGGGCCTTTGTAGGGTATTGTTTAAGAAGTTTAATATTGCCCCTCTAGCCAACGAATTCTTATTTTAATTGTTAACATTTGTTGTGGACAACATGGAAAAATTTCAAAGAAACTGTGATGTGCACAGTATAAATACAAGATTCAGACATAACCTTCAAATGCAAACACTAACCTCAACAAATATCGAAAAGGAGTTTATTACACTGGAATTAAATTATTCAATAATCTTCCTCTTACTACAAAACGTTTGTCATTACATAAAAGTATTTAAGTCAACACTAAAGGAGTATCTCTTATAACTTCTATACAGCAGAAAAATTTACTTTAAACAATAATTCTCAGTTATAAATACAAAATAATGATGGAGATGATTCCACAATGTAATTACTGCAATATTGTATTGTATCAGATATGTCTGTAAATAGCTGTTAAAACTTTGTGTTCATCTTTTGTATTATGACGTATTCTATGTCTTATCAGTAAATAGCTGTTAAAACTATGTAATTTACAGCATTGTATTTGTATATAACATATTCTACATCCTTGGCTTGGCCTAATAAGGATTTATAGAATATAAATAAATTATTTGCAATTGTATGATGACTGAACAACAGAGCTGTAATATATTCCAACTAGTTGTAAACCAATTGTAATTTCAATTCCCCCTAAATCACATTTTACTGCTAATGGTACAGGAGAAATCACAATGCACAGAATTTGGTGCAACAAAGAATCTAAGAATTGTACATAATATCCCTCCATCATATGTAAATGTTAATTAAATTGGTTTCGACATAATACATCAGGTCATACAAAGATGAAATCAGCATTGTAATGCTTCCTGCAAACTTTCATTACACAGTGCTTAGTCACCACATTAAATTTACCTCCAGGGATAATCTGTACTGTATAGTGGGACAACTTTTGAATTTACTTGACTGAAACAATTGGATTGGCGAGTGCATGTGGTTCATTGTCAACAAACAAAGGTTAATCAGATATTAGAACTGAAAGTCACAGCTCTTCCTTTGTTTTTGAGCAGTCACATGTTCAAATCTCAAGCCCAGATGCTACATGATTGTTTTTTGTTTTTGTTTTTTTGTTTACATCAGTCTCTGCGGATAAATGGTGTGCTAGTACCATCCGTTTGTTGGTCTCGTTAGTGTCCGAAGAGAAACAGAGAAAAATAAATTGTTTAAAAATAACTTGTGTACTGATCCATCAGTCTTTTATGGAGGGAACAAACAAACTTCTTCTTTCTCTTTCTAAGATGTTTCCACTGGAAATTTTCAAATGTTTAATTTCTTCCTCAATACTTTCTGATATATATATACCTGACTGTATAACATGTAACCAGGTCAAGTTTATTTAGTTTAAATTTTACAATTGTTGACTCAGTGTACCATTAAACATTATTTTCTTAATTTCAGGCTGACTCTGACAAGAGGTCTTCCTATGAGAGATACGTATCTAAATAAACAACACTCTCATCACGTGCATTTTTAGTGTATTTCGTTTGAATTTTAATATCCCAGGTCAAATAGAGGACCTGAACTTTTAACTAATTCCGTGTTAATTTTTCTGAAAAGTTTAACTAACTCTATGGAGTCATTTCTGGGAAACTAATAGTCATTCAGCTAGTCAACAAATTCCCTACCAGTTGTTGAGCGTTTTTCTTGGAAAGGTAAAGGTTAAGAAGGTCCCAGGATTTTTATGGAACTCACTATTACCATATTCACAAGAGGCAGGCTCTGAGTCAGATGAATCTAGTCCACATCGTCAAACCACATTTAAGTTCAATTCTTCGTCGTAATCTACACGATGGCACACCACGTGTTACTCAATTGAAAGTTAAAATAAAAGTTTCAATATTCATAAAGGGATACATCTTAGGCAAGTGGGCTCACTTTCTAAGTTGCGAGTCTTACATCAATGTTTGGGCAACCTTTACTCATTTTATATTTTGTTCATAGATGGCAGATTGGTATGTCCATAACTTCACAAACGAAAACCATTCTAATGATCATTTCTGACCACAGATGTCAGGCCAACATAACTTCCAACAACAAAGGTTTTATTCCTGTCAACAGATGGCATCAACGTATCACTCTATCTTAGCATGGCTAACTCACACCAAGCTCTTCAAATACGTAGATTACTAAAGGCCTATTGTTTTCAATTAAAATCATCGGGACAATTGGAATTAAAACAAGACTGGAAAGGTATAATCCGTACTGAAATACAGAGAGTTTACACATGCGTTCTCTAAATATTTGCACTCTGAATGCTCACAACCAACACAAAGAAATATACAATATCATACACAGTCTACAGTGCCACGAGGCATTCTTTGCGGCGATGGAAGGACCATGAAAAATTGTCTGATACCAGCGATGTCTCACGCGTGGGGCAAGAATTGTTTTCCAGTGGGAAATTTTAATCTTTGCAGTGACGAACGTAATGTATCTTAAATGTATTAGAAATTTTTTTAAATTATATCTAATTGTTACGAAATAATAATAAAAGTAGTACTAATGACATGCATTTTAAATGTGACTTGGGTATTTTAAACAACTCGACTTTTTGACATTGTAATTTCGCATGTACGCCTTCCTCTCTGCCGGAAGTAGTACGCTGTTACCTCGAGGTGACTTTATACACAACGCAGCGTGTTTGTAAATTGAAAGTTATTAAGTAACTACACCCGTTCGTTATGAGGGGAGTTTTACTGGATTATTCACGTGGTCTAACCAAAGTTGTGTGGTAGTGGTTCAACGATTATTAGACTAATTAGAAGCTTTCTACATTTGCTAAAGTGTTTGGAGTGGAACCAGTGGGCATGATGAAATGGAAAATTGTGCCTTGATTAATAACCACTTCGCAGGAACAAGTGAATCAAAACACGCACGGAAGGAAGTTAGGTTAGGTTAGGTTAGGTGCCAACATTTTAAAACATAACATAACAACAGAATGTGAAGGCAATGGAAAAAAAGCAATTTCTCTAATCCTCAATTTGAACTCTATCGAAACTCACTAACCAATTAACTAACGTCGGGAGGTTAGGTTAGGTTAGGTTAGGTTAGGTAAGGTAAGGTTAGTTTAGGTTAGGTTAGGTAAGGTAAGGTTAGTTTAGGTTAGGTTAGGTTAGGTAAGGTAAGGTTAGTTTAGGTTAGGTTAGGTTAGGTTAGTAAGCACTTCTACCTCGTATTCTTTAGGTCCCTGGTTCCGGTGTAGGCCCAGAGCCTAGGTTTCCAGACTGACATTTTTAGTTATTTTATAATTCCCTACAACACAATGCTCGGATAATAATTTAAATAAACCACGACCGCTTCCTTCCACTTCCCACACAATTCGTCATTCTTTATTCAACGCTGTGGGATTAAACCGAAAAAAGAGTAAATTAAGAAACTGAACTAATGATAAATAAATTATTGCACACTACAGTATTCTTCTTGGTAAATCAATTTATTCAGCGGAAAGAAATATTAATTGTCACGGAAACAAATGATCCGTCACCATCAAAAGTAACGCTAATGGATAATGTAAGTTATAATTTAATCCACTTTATTTGCACTACCTGTTTGTGTAAGACACGTTTTAATATTATCCATCCATGTAAGCAAAGATACCTCAAATAAGGTTCTCCAACTAAAATACTGAAGGGAGAGAATTATAATAGTTATTAAAATTTAATTATTTATAATTTTACTCTCAATCTCTTCCCGTCGTGGTGAGGAACGAGGGGGAAAAACAAACATCACTAATCGAGACACCTCGTCAGAAGAGATAAAATTGAGACTCTGGATATTGATGGGATTTAAGTTAAATGTCTTGGAAATTTTGATTGAAATCAACCGGCCTTAGATCGGATTGGACGATGGGAAGTTTCCTTATCTGTGTTGAAATTTCTAGTTGTAATATCTTAGGTTCAGATACCACATAAATAGAAATCTCACGGTATAGAAATTAGGGGGAGGGGGGGGAGAACCACTTCAAATAATTTAAATCGATTGAGATACGGGACACGCGGAGGGTGAGAACCATCACCGATTCCCAGGCAGCACATATATATACGGCCTTAATGAAAATTGTATAGGTGATTAACTAGCACTATACCAAAGTAGTTTTGGGAGTTGAACGCCGCCTGAATCTACAAGTGATAAAATACTACCAACCCCCAGCAGGTAGGATACGCGATTTGGACCTACAAGCTTCTCCCAAACACCATAACCTGCAAGAGTATACAATTGAGATTTATCCCCATAGCAATCGATGCACTGAAGCTAAATATAGCATATAATTACACAGAGAGCAGGGAACTACTCGTATATAGGGAAATTAATGTAGGGGACTGCATACCGGGGTTACCATTTGTTTAGTGGGGGACAACAACTTTAGAAGGAGGAATGGGTTACGACACAGCATATGAACATTAAGTATAATTAATACCCAGCTCGCAGATAAGCCTACGATATTTAAAAAAACATTTATTTTATTAAGGTAATTTTTAAACATTCATTAATACAATAGAAAATGTGATGCATAATAATAATAATAATAATTAAAGTATCTACCTCTGGAAAAATATATTAGATTTGTTGCTTAGAATAATAGAGCATTTATCCACATCCCATTTCGTGATTACAGAAATATTTCCTTCAGCTAACAAACTGTCTGGTAACCTGGCCGAAAGTTTAAAACTTCGAAAAACAAACACCTAATATTTCACAAAATTATGTTTGTTTGTTTTTCCAATTCTACAAACTATTTCCCTAAAATTAATTTAAATATT